GAATAGGCAGATGAACCCTAGCATTTCTGCCATGTCACGATATGTGCGCTTGACCAGAGTCTTGGTGCGGGTGTAGAATGAATGGACTCCAGAGGGGACTCTGATTTGCCATATAGAGTAAAACGACCTCCCCATTTCCATGGTTAAAGCTACCTTCTCTATCACAGAGGCACAGGGTAGGTGCTCAGTAACTGTTTGCTGGATTGATGAATTATGTCCCACCTGGTCTTGACCTGAAGTGGCTTCCTGGTGAGAGCACCTGTAAACAGCCTTTGTTAATTTTCTTAATCTCAACAAAGCATAGAATTTGCTGAGATCAGTACCCTGAAGAACTTGGTGAGCCCAGTATTATGGGGATCACAGGGTAAGAGGAACATAAGTTCACTGGTTTTGAGAAGGACAGTTGCCATCAGTGGTCAATTCTACTGCAAGTTCTTAATGCTTCCTTCATGTATCTGCTCACATGCTGCCCCTGACTACTGACCCCTTTGAAGGTGGATGAGTTGTACCCCACAGACCTTGTATCTCTAGCTCCTAGTCTAGTCCTCAACACACAGAGGGAACCCAGGTAGAGTGGCTGATTGAATGAGAGGTTATTGTGTGTAGACACATGCACACATCAGAGAAATGATCAACGTATGTTGTGGCCAGAATTCTGGTGAGCTCTGTCCTTAAGGGCACTTCTTGTGCACCTGCAAATCGTGAAGAAAGCCTCTGAGCACAGATCTCCTGGTCTTTAATGCCTGTGCACTTGTGGGCATGCAGTATCAGAAGTGAACGTGGGCACTGGAGTCACCAGGCTAGCTTTGAACCCACAAATTAGTGTCTGTGTGCTCTTGGGTAGACGGATGACCAATCTCTCCTACTTAAAAAAGGTGGGGACAAGCGTCCCCTTTTCCCACTGTGGCTTTAGGGTTAAATGAGTTGGTGACCACCACACGCCCTGAACACAGCTGGTCTCCGTGAATGTAATCCCCTTTCCTGCGAGCCTGTCTCTTCCTCCGTCTGTTCTCAGTTTCTTTTTCTGAAGAATATGGGGGAGTGACCCTCAAAGGGTCCCTTGAGTGCATGAGTTATGACCAAACAAGCTGTTTTCCCGATCCCTTACAGAGTGGAGGGCAAGGACCCTGAAATAAACGTACTTGCTTTGAAAGAAAACATGCCAGGCACAGTGGCTCATGCCTGTCATCCCAGCACTTTGGGAGGCTGAGGCAGGTGGATCACCTGAGGTCAGGAGTGCGAGACCAGCCTGGCCAACATGGCGAAGCCCTGTCTCTACTAAAAGTACAAAAAGTAGCCTGCATGGTGGCATGCACCTGCAGTCCCAGCTACTTGGAAGGCTGATTCGCTTGAATCTGGGAAGCAGAGGTTGCAGTGAGCTGAGATCGCATCATTGCACTCCAGCCTAGGTGACAAAGACAGACTCTGTAAAAAAAAAAAAAAAAAAAAAAAAGAGAGAGGGAGAGAAAACGCTTTATTAGCAAAGCAGAGCAAAGCAATACAAACAAGACACCACCAACACCAACACACAAACCCCAGCCACCTCTGCTGGGGGCTGAGCCTTGTTCACACAGCTGTGGAAGCTGACAGTCTCAGGACTCTCTTGAGGCTGCCAGCTTCCACCTTGCAGTTCTTTGCTCCCAGAAGCAAGGTGTTCTGGGCTACTGCCCACATCCAGTCTACCTGAAAGTCAGGTCTCTGATCTGTCATGGACGCTCTGGAGTGGGTGATTCAGCTACAGAAAGAGCACACAGCGCAGGACCACCACAAGACAAGGTCCTCTGCAGGAACATGGAACTTCTAACTTTAGGGACATTTGTTCCAAATAAAAAGAGGCCATTGCCTTCCAGACACCTAGGGAATCTTAAGACACTGATGGTCGGGACCAGGCCAGGCTGGGATTTCTGGTGTCCATGAATAACTCCTGCCCCCTCCCCCAGATCTCCACCTGCCCATTGGAAACCTGCACGCTGGGAACCTGTACGCAGGAAGCAAAGCACGTCCACCCGTCGAAGAAAGCGTGAGACGTGTACGCGCCCTGGAGAGGCACTGGTCAGTTTTGCGGCAAGTGATCGTACACCTGGTCTGATCATTTGCACTATTTAGCACAGGGCTGATCCCAGACTTTGGGTGGACGCAGGGGAACTGGCAGCACCAGCCACGCACGCTTGAGGAAGTGGAAGAGGGGTCAGTACAGATGGGGACCAAGGTACGGAAAGGGAAATGGAAGACCATGAGCCCAGCCTTGCCTGGGACATGTGTCTCATCCCTCAAACAACAGCCTGATCCTGTATAAGGGGGGCTTCCATCCACATGCCTCAAGCTGTTTTGGCAGAGGGATCGCGTGTGTGGACTTCCCCTGCACAACTGTGAACAAGCACACCAAACTCAGTGGCCACACGCTTCCCTGGCTACTGCCTTTGTTTAACGTCTTGCCTGCCGTCTGAGCACGGTAGTCAGGGGGTGGGGGGCCGTGGGCTGCCCCTGCTCCTTGGGAGGTCTGCTAGGAAGGCTGCTTGGTGACTTGTTAGTGAGCACACAAGCAAAAGGAAAGCTGTCACAGGGGCGGTGGCCCCCGCTCCTACCATGTCGCTCTGTGACTGCGTGGCCCCGTACATGGTGATACCGCTGGAGGGTGCTGCTGGCTGCGGCGTGTCGGGCTGGATGTACCCTCTTCTGTCAATTAGGCTGCGAGAGAGAAGAGAACACAGGAGGAAGAGAGTGAATAAAAAGCCAGAGATGCAGCAGCACTATTTCAGGTTCCGTGTCAGGGCTCCTTCTTCCCATGATAGGCCCACCTCAGGCACCTTAGACTACACCTCTCCTCACTTTCATGTACAATCAGTGACCAGATTCTGTTCCTTCTCCCTTTAAACATGACTGTGGCATGGCCTGCCTCCTGGCCAGGCCAAGGGCATGTCACCTGCTCAGATGCCAGCATCTCCCTCTTGTCCACTAACTGCGGCAGCCTCTAAGCTGGTCTCACTCCACCTGTCACCATCTGTCCCCAGTGCTCCTCTCCAGCCTCAACGGCACATCTCCTTACTACATTCACTCAGCAAACGTGTTCAGGCCACGACCATCCCCGCCTCTGAGGACTGACTATCTGGGCTGCTTTTCTCAGAACGCAGGGCCTCCTACGTGTCAGTTCAGCTTTTGGAACACAGGAGTTAACCTCATGACTACTGCCTTCAGGTCTTTAAGTGGCAGAACGATAAGCCAGAAAAACCACCTGTGACGGGATCCTCAAATGGGACTCCCTCTGCCTCAGTTCCAGCTGAACACTTTATAGGTTTAGAAAAAACAACAGGCAACAAGAATCTCCACCTTTCAAAGAGAAGTGCCGGACCTCCTCTGCAGGATGTCAAAGGGGGTTCTCAAACCAGCGTTGCAACCCTCCCTTCAAAGGTACAAAGGGTCAGAGGGGGAAAGAGCAGAGAAGGCTGTTTTGGAGAAAGGCGCTCTAACCTCTAGTGTGGGTGACAGCCAGGGATGGACTGGGACCTGAGGGTTGGGTGAAGGTCCAGGTGTGGGTCTCATGGGAGAGAGCCAGTGCCAAGCTGTCTTGAGGGACTGGGCACGGTGGTTCACACCTGTGATCCTAGCACTTTTGGAGGCCAAGGTGGGCAGATCACCAGAGGTCAGGAGTGTGAGACAGGCCTGGCCAACATGGTGAAACCCCGTCTCTACTAAAAATACAAAAAAATTAGCCAGGTGTGGTGGCACGTGCCTGTAATCCCAGCTACTTGGGAGGCTGAGGCAGGAGAATCGCTTGAACCTGGGAGGCAGAAGTTGCAGTGAGCCAAGATCATGCCATTGCACTCCAGCCTGGGCGACAGAGTGAGATTCCGTCGCAAACAACCACCACCACCAGGTCTTGAGTGAATGTCACGGGTTGAACTGTGCAGAAAGATATGAAGTCCTAACCTGGTACCTGCAAGTGTGACCTTACTTAGAGGTAGGGTCTTTGCAAATGTAACCAAGTTAAGATGAGGTCACACTCAATTGGAGTGGGCCTTTGTCCAATGTGACTGGTGTCCTTACAAGAAGAAAAAGAGGAGAGGAAGAGAATGCTGGGTGAGGGTACAGAGACACACAGGGAGAACGCCACGGGCTGACAGAGGCTACCCCGCAGTGAAGCATGTGCCAGCCAAGGAACGCAGAGGGCTGATGGCCCCACCAGGTGCCCGGAAGAGGCAAGGAAGGGTTCTCCCCAGCCTCGGGACGGTTGCAACCCTGCCGGCATCTTGATTTCAGGCTTCGAGCCTCCGACTGTAACAGAACAACTTTCTGTTGTTTTAACCCTCCCATTTCATGGCAGTTGTTGGACTGCAGTGCCCTAGGAAACTACCATAGGACTCAGCCCAAGAGACCCACAGAGGGGGCCCCACAGAGAGGCCTGTGCAGGGCTCATGGCCTCTGGCGCGGGGTTGCAGTGGCAGGTATCAGTGACTCTCAGGAGAAAAGGCCCTGCCTCCATCAGGGAACTGCGATGGGGGGTCCTCAGAGGAAACTCTTAGTCAGGCGCTCTCAGACCCCACCAGTTTAGAGCATTGGCAGGGGACCAACAGCACTGACCCCCTGCCCAAATCCCCTCCTCACTGTTGGACAGGAAGCTGGTGGGGAGACAGGACTAGCTGGGGGCGGGGGGTGGGGCAGAACTCAAGGGGAAGAGAGAACCCCACAGTCCTCCCAACCAGGTTCGGGTGAAGGGATGGGAAGTGTTAACTGTCAATGAACTTGGCAGTTCTGATGCACTGAAATGATACTATTTTGGAGGGAAAGTGCCCTGACGCGCTCTCTCTCTCTCTCTCTCTCTTTTAAGTGACAAGAGAAATTAAGGGGCTTGCAGGGGATTTTATCCAGGAGCAGAAAAAGAACTAGGTCATCAAAAAAGTCTGAAGGGACAGCAGGGGGAGAAAAATGAAGCGTTCTCGGCCAGCATCCCATCACATCCAGCCTGTTTAATGTAGCAGCTGGGCTCCCAGGGCTGTGATGCTCTGGACACAGCGGGCTCTGCCCATCCTTCTTGTCATCTGGCCTCGCCCCTTGTCTTGTCTCACCTCTCGGCCCAGCTCCCCTCGCCCCTCACTCCTGACACTAACCCCCTCAGCATTTCCTTGGATGAGCCAGGACCCTCACCCTCGGGTCCCTGCACAGGCTGCCCCCTTTGTCTTTTGAAACCCTGCTCCTCCCCACCACTTCCTCCTCCAAACTCCTTCTCACCCTTAGGAGAGATCACAGCTTAGACCTACTCCTGGGCGGCCCATGCACCTCACTGTGCGCCGCCTGCCCATGGACGGTCCCTGCTGCCCAGGAGCCGGCCCCTCTCCCGTGCACCCTCAGCGCCTGGCACGGAGCCGGCTCCACTGCGCATGCGCCGTCAGTGGTGGCCACGTGACCCACGTGACCGGCCCAAGTCTGGTGTGACACTGACCATTCCTTGGGTCTTTCTGTGTTCCCAATTTTCCATTCCTCCTGCCAGGCTTATATGAGGACTCCTCCCCCCAAACCTGGCCATACCCAGCCAGCTGCCGTCCCCTCCTCTGGTGACATTGCAGGAACCGAATGTGGGTCTCTGCACTCTCGGTATGCAGGCTCCCAAAAGGGAACACAAAGACTCGCTCTGTTTCATTTGCATGGCATGGCACCGTTTAAGAACCCACGAGGGGCAAGTCAAGCACAGGGGTCTGGGCACATGGGTCTGAGGCAGGGCACACTCTCAGCGGGTGGGCCTGACTGGGATGCCCGGGAAGGCCCTGGCCCACTTAAGGGCACAGGGGCTGGGGCGAGGTAGCACAGGGGGAGGGGAAGGCAAGAGAGGATGAGAGGGAGAGGCAAAGGTAGGCATCACCCCCTCATATCTGCCTGGGAGCCTGTGAGTGGCCTGTGTCCCTGCCCAAGCGCCAGAATGATCCAGGGTAAGCTATAGCCCCGCTTTAACAAAGCAAATATCTCATTTGCCTCGCTCTACCTTCGCCCAGTGAAGCCTCCCCCAGAGTCCCTGCAGTGCGGCCCCAAATCCCTGGAGCCTCTTCAGTGGGCCCCACACTGCTTCAAGTCTGGAGCTGCCAGATTCATGAATCACCTCTGTTCAAATACATTCTTCAATATTTTCATGTCCTTCAGTTTAGCTTTTAACAAATGATTCAAACACTTCTGAGGGTAGGACCATTCTCAAGAAATGCCCCACCCAAAGGAACGTGGATTTTGGAAAGAATACAGCCCAAATCCAGCCAAAAAAGCACATTTAACCCAGTTGTGGAAATAATTTTGGTTGTGACAGTTTGTGGTCTCTAAACAACATAAAGCCGTGCCATATGCAGATGAAGGACTTGGGAACAGGAACGGAGATTTGGGCAGAACTGAGGCTTCAGCATCCTCTCTTAGACCCACACATACACCGCAGGCGGCGGAAAGAGGGCAGCTCTCCCTGGCTCTTACACTCAATTTCCTGGCCTGCCCTGCTAGCCACAAACATGCCAGTGGGAAGCACCATGGAGGCTGCGACAAATCAAGCCACTGCCTGAGAGACTTTCTGCCTAAAGAGCTCCCAGAAGGATCCCTGGGTGAGTCAGGAGGTTTCTTCAAGAGGAGCTGGCACCTGCCCAGGCATGTCTGACCCCTGTGGACCGAGCAGCCTCCCAAACCCAGGATCCTCACTTGCCCTTTCCAAGCCTCTGAGGAGGTCAGGAGTCCCTTGAGGACCCCTCGTTCAGGGGGACAGTGGCATGCTGGGCTCCCCACTTTCTAGGCTAAAGCTAGACAATGATCAAGTTCTAGTTTTGCAGTAGCATCACGACGACTCAAAGTCATAATAACTCAATGCCAGTGCACAGATGGCCTTGGAATATGTGCTTGGATTTTTTTTTCTTGAATTCTTTTTACCTCTCTAATGAGGATTCATTGAGGCTGATAATCAAATGAAGTTTGCATTTCATAAGCGCACATCGGTAAGGTCTGGGTGCCCAGTGGGTCTGCCCTGGACACAGTCATGGTGGCTTTTGTCATTTCTCCGTTTTACACATTTAGAGACCAAAAGGCAGGAAGCAGTAATGACTTGGAAACTCATTCTAGAGACCAAGTAGATTTGCTCAATACCTATTTGTTGATCATGGTTCGATTTATCAGTTGAAAATGTTCTCCATAGGTGTAACTCACAAAGAATTTGTATTTTGAACTTGTACACTCTGACTTGGAGGCAGCGTGCGTCAGTGGGCACACACTGGCTCTGGCATTGGGCGGCCTGGGTGTGCATCCTGACTAGCCAGCATTTACTGGCTGTGTGATCTTGGGCACATAATTTGAACTCTGTGCCTCACTTTCCTCATCCATAGAATGGGATATAATGGTGCCTATCTATAGGTACAGAGTGAGCTTGTAAAAGGTTAATGCAGGTAAAGAACTTAGAGCAGGGCTTAACACAGATTCAATAAAGGTTAGCTACTGCCATGGTTCATGTCACTGTCATTATTACCACAACCACAGTCTCAACGACTGCAGCACATGTGGCTCTCTCCCTATGAACATTTCTATTCTGTGCAAATCAACTTTCAAAACTGGTTTCCGCAGGCTTTCTGGCTGATCCTTCCTGCATGTGTCTTGTCTCCCTGACGATGCTAACCACGGCTCCCTACGCACACCTTCAGTCATTAGCAGGTCCTCAGTCATTAGCAGGGCCACAGGCATCTGTCTCTCTATTTTGGGCTTCAGGAAATTTTCCCCAAATCAGACACAGATTCAGCTGAAGATCAAAAAAGGTGTGAAGTGTGACACCACACACAGAGCCAGATCTCGATTTCATGAAGGCCATGTCCACGCTAAACAAAGCGGTCACCTGGTGGTGGCGACCCATTCCGCCGGGCGGGGGGACTGTGCTAACGGCTGAGGCATTCGGTTTTCCAAGGTCTGTATAAGAGCACGATGCGTCCTGAGTCTTACCTTGGTGAGATGGGCCCACACAGGGCAACACAGCAATTGGTAAAGATATTTCCGTAGCTGTAGGGATTGTAATTTTCTTTACCTCTTTTATTTGACCAGGATCCTTTAATCTGAAAGAAAAGGAAAGTCAGTAACAAGCAATATCCTTCACGCCAATGCACGGTTGAGGTGAGCTGGACCATGAGAAGCCCATAAAGAATGCAAATCATCTTTAATCCAAAGAAATGGAGGTATTTTTCTTAAAGAAAATGGGCATTTACTCCAAACTCGGAAATGTCCTAAAACAGCAGGTTAGATTAGGGAAAGAATAATATTCTCAGGGACAATCATCTTTTATTTGTCCCACATGATACTAAAAGGCTATCTCATATAAGCCAGCAGAGATTTTTTTCATGCTCACATTTAGTGCCCTAAATGATAATTAAATGAATGGCAGGTGAAATGGTTCCCCTAATTGCTAATTTACAGACTGAAATAATTCAGCCTCTTCTTGTGACCAAAATAGTCTGTTTTGCATATTCTAATATTTGTAGCTACCAACTACAAATAACTGTATTAATATTCTCTTATCTCATGTGTCTTATCACAACCTATTTTCTCAAGCTTTTGTTTAAGGTAACTGGACCTATCCTGAGACATTTAATTCACGTGTGGATAGACACTTGTATCAAAATGTATCAAAATCTAAGTGTAAAGAGCAAAGTGGACCACGCTGCTCTGGAAACATTCTCTAAGATTTTTTTTCCTCTTTTTTTTTTTTTTTTTGAGATGGAGTGTCGCTCTGTCACCCAGGCTGGAGTGCAGTGGCACGATCTCAGCTCACTGCAACCTCTGCCTCCTGGGTTCAATCGATTCTCCTGTCTCAGCCTCCCGAGTAGCTGGGATTAGCGCCTGCCACTATGCCCGGGTAACTTTTTTGTATTTTTAGTGGAGACGGGGTTTCACTGTGTTAGCTAGGATAGTCTTGATCTCCTGACCTCGTGATCCGCCCGCCTTGGCCTCCCAAAGTGCTGGGATTACAGGCATGAGCCACCGTGCCCGGCCTTGTTTCCTGTTTTCATACTTCCTCTTCATCTGTATTAAGTACAGGCAGACAATCCTGGATAAAAAGTTAAATTTTGCGTCAGGGCAATTTCCTCCCACAGAGAAATTAAATATGAAAGGCAGACTCAAACATTCACCCCAAGATATTGGCCCGCCATGGTTTCTACCAGGGGAAGTGTGATAAGAAGCTTACGAAACCATTTCAAAGGAATAGAAAGAACACTCTCTTCAGGGCCAGAAATGGGTGTCACTTGGCCAACCTTAGTATCTAATGGATGTGGTCGGAAAAACAGAGAACGTAGAGATTCCCAGTAGAGAAACATGCAGAATGGCATGTGGAGAAGTTTCCACGGCACCGTCTCTGTTCCCAAGGGCTCACATCTGGAATGGGATGTATGGGAGAAGCTGGGCCCGACCTCTTCTTTCCTTTTTCTCCTCCATTGCCCAAAACCCAAGAACACACCCATGTCTCGTGTGGTCAGGAACTTACGTCCTCATTTGTCGTCTGGTTGGAGCTGATCAAGTAGGTGTGGAATCCTGAGAGGCCAACGATGGACCAGACAGAGAAGAAGCACACCACAGCCTCCAGGACAGTGACACGAGTCAAGGAGGCAAGTGGAAGTGAGGGGCTGTGCAAGAGGTGGACGTGATGGAGGCCTGGAACCGAAACCCCCCCAGGCACAGGCCACTCTAGCTGCTGGCCTCTCTCTCTCCCGGCCTTGCCTTGCTTCCTGCTCTTCCGGGAATTTCGTCTAACCAGATGGAAGCCTCCGTCAGGGCAGGGGGCGTCACATGCCCCAGCGCGGAGCAGCCTCTGTGGCTCCGTGATGACTGGAGGGCTCCCTGGGCGTCACCTACCCACTTCCTTCCTCTGACTTCTACTTGACCTTCACCTTTTTCTGTGCCTCACTGTGGAGCCAGTGACTGTGGCATCCTGCTCAGGAAGCACACTGGTTTGAGTTGGCTGCAGCTCAGGCCCTGGGTAAAAGATGACATATTGACTTGTACATCAATCGCAGACTCTAATTTTGGCTTCTGAATGCTGAGGACTGCAGTGCCAACAGGCGTCTCCCCTGAGGAGAATGGCTTCTGGGGCCCAGAAAGCCCTCTGCTTTAGTGGGCGGCCTCTTCTCTGCTTACAGAGAAGGGGAAGAAGGAGAAAATAAGCCCCTGAACGGGCGGTGGCATTTCTCGGAGTGACATCAGGGTGAGGGGTATTTTTACTTGGGGGAGTTTTCCCAGCCTTTCAGGCAACCCCTGACCTATATGGCCATCCTCCGCTGCTTGATAGGCAGCTGGGAGCCACGAGTTCTCGCAGGACATTGAGAGAGAGGAAGTCAAGAGTTCCACAAGATGTGTCTAACACAAAGGGAAAAAGCTTGCTGCTCTTCAGCAGATGAGATCCATCACCCGAGAGTGTGGCAATGTGAAAAGGCCAGAGACTTTTTCTGTCCCACAAATGCTTATAAAATTCTATTTACAGGATACAGATATTTCTCAGGGCGAAAAATCCATTCATCCTGGGTTTGGGAGTTTACACATACATCTGGCATCCCCTATCGATCTATTATTACAGGCTAGAGAAAGAAACGCTCCTGCTCTCCTAATGTTTCCGAGGATGAATGCCAAATAGACCATGCCGGAACATATCAGTGATGATCTTCTCCAGGCTGGAGAGAATTCATCTTTAGACCAGAAGGTTGAGCACATTACCCAGTGCGGTGCCGTGGTCTGCTGCGCCATGGTTAACCAATGTCACCATCTGGGCACACAGGGCTGCAGGCAAAACAGGAGGGAATGGGCTTCTGCCTGTTGACTGACTTTCAACATTGCACTAAACCACTGGGTCTGCTCTAGAAGGAGATGGTAGCAGGCAGTGGTAGGGGACCAGAGAGACACAGGGAAGCAGACCCCTACCCACAGCTACCGCCAGCCTGGGCAACCCCTGCTGGGCAAATGGCAATGGTGGAGGCTCTGTGTGCATGTGGGGTCACATGGATGGTGTCCCAGGCAGCAAAGATGGTCTCATTTTCAACTGCCTTCCCACAGAATGGGGCTAAAGAGGCCCCTCTCCCTACCCACATCCCCCCTGCCAGGAGGGGGCAGACCTGGGAGGCAACTCCCCTGGGATTCAGGTCATGCACTGGCTGGAAAGAAGAGGTGAAGTGGAGTCCAGGGAACACGATGAGGGAGCCAGTGGGAAGACTGAGTCAGGAGAGCTGGGTTGTGTGAGAGGGAGATGACGTTAGACACTAGCAATGGGTTTGGACTGGCTACGGGGGAAAGACAGGAGACAGAAAGAGGAGGGGACACATGGAACGGAAACAAGAAATAGCCAAGGTAGAAAAGAATCAAGAACAGAACCAGATTTATTTACTGAATAATACATGAAGAGCCAAACTGCAATCCCAGAAATACTTATGTGTCACCCAGAGTTTACGATCCACGTAGAATGATGGCAAAGTCAAAGTGAATATAACATTCCTATGTATGAACCATATGAAACCTGGCATGTACGAGCAGTGAGGATCCCAGACTGAAAGTGGCTGCAGCTCCTTTGACAATGCCAACTATGCTCATTACCCTCATCGGGAGGCATCATAGCCAGCGGACATAGAATTCTAAAGGTTTATAGCAACAATAAAAAAATGCAGCTTTTCTATTTTTTTTTTTCTTTTTTTGAGATGAAGTTTTGCTTTTGTTGCCCAGGCTGGAGTGCAGTGGCACAATCTCAGCTCAGTGCAACCTCTGCCTCTCAGGTTCAAGTGATTCTGCTGCTTCAGCCTCCTGAGTAGCTGGGATTACAGGTGCCCACCACCACGCCTGGCTAATTTTTGTATTTTTAGTACAGACAGGGTTTCACCATGTTGACCAGGCTGGTCTTGGACTTCCGACCTCAGGTGATCCTCCCACCCCTGCCTCTCAAAGTGCTGGAATTACAGGTGTGAGCCACCGAGCCTGGCTAGCTTTTCTATTAATATCTCATGTGCTTTCGACACATTTTGTAAATTATGGAATGCAGTTCCACTGTCAGCTTGCAGCTGTGTCAAAATGACATGAATCCAAAGTAGGATGCGAGATGCAAGATGCAGCCTGCTGGCACTACCCACATCCTAGGACCCAGCTGACTCAGGAGGTCTCGAGGAACCATCAGCATCATCATTCCTAACAATGGCTGGCATCACTGGGATGTGTCAGGTCCTGTTCCACTTAAACCTCAGAGTGACCCAGGGAGAAGTGTGACTCCCCCTTAACAGACAGGGAAACCAAGGCAGAAAGCAATGAAGTAATTTGCTTGAGAAATAGCAGAGCTAGGACTTGAATGCTGGAAGTCTGCTCTGCTGGGATGACAGAAGAGTCTCGGGCTGGTCCCTTTCCTAAATCTTGCCAAGAGACGGGTGGCCCTAGACCTACCCCAACCTCCTGCTTCTCCGGGATTTGTAAACCTGTGGCAGCTTACATGGTCTGTTCCCTTTCACATCCACTCTCAGACTCCGACACAAATACACAGACACACATTCCTTACTGGCCCACTGGCTATATGCTGAAAATATCCATGCCATAATAAGATCAAGAAACAGAAATTTCTTTTAAAGGTATCAAAACCCATTTACTGTCTTTTTTTTAGAAAGAGAAAGAAGAGGAAACAATCCAACTGTACTGGGAGCCGATTTCATAAGCAGCTGGGACTTCGTTTACTGCATTGAGGATGGGTTTCAAATCATAGCAGCTACCGCGACGCCTCTGTCTCCCCCACAACCCCTGCTAAGAGAGTTTGTCTCCGTTGTGGCCAGAAAGATGGCTTTAAATTCCCCACAGCCCTAGCCTAAGAGGTTGCACACTGCAGTACTCACTGAATGTTTACGGAATTGAAAAACTCTGACAAGCACTGTTCCACAGAGACCCTTCTCTCAAGTTCCTGCCTAATCCCAGAAGTGCAGGCTCTGTGTCCTTCTATGTACCCAGCCCTGCACTAGGGACAGGACAGGGCAGGGAGGGACCAGCTTCCAAATACTGCAGCAGTATTTGGAGGATCACAAGAGGTGAGAGATCATGGGACCACATATGTTACATATCCAGAATTCCCGGATTCCAGAATGGCCAAGGAGATGATGTCCTTGCTCTCGTTCAAATACGATGTGGGTGTGTGCATTCTTGTGTTTTAAAATTTTTTGAGTTGTAATTTCCAATATGACAAATAACTCTCTCTCTCTTTCTCCAAAATATGCACAAACAAAAGCTCTTTGGGGGTCCTTAATAATTTTTCAATGTGTAAAGGAGTCTTGACACCAAGAAGTTTGAGACCTGCTGGAATAGAACAGTAAAACAGTAAGTGGTGTTGGGACACTTCATTAAACATTTAGAAAAAATAAAGCTAGAACTTCAGCTTGCACCACATCCACAAAATTATCTGATAGATAAATTACTGCACCAAATATAAGAAACACAATATAAAGGTATTCGAGGAAAATTAAGGGAACATTCATGTAACTTTGGGGCGAGGATATAAGGCACAAACCAAGGAGCCATGTAGTATGAGATTGACAGAGTGTGTTCATTAATAAACACTTTTGTGTAAAAAAGTAAAGTTAAACGGTAAATGTTGGATTTGGAGATTGGCAAAGGATACCTAAGAGATTATTATTATTATTGAGAAACATAAAGAAACCCTACATGTTTATAGAAAAAGAACAAATAACCCAATTGATACATGGACATGTACTGGCATATACTGTGATAAGAAAAGAAAAAGACCCCTTAACATAAAAAGAGGTACAATCTATTATCCAGAAAACAGAAATTAAAACAATGTAATTTTTTTCCTTTTCATCAAATTGGCCAAAATGACAAGACTGTTCACAGCCAGTGCCATAAACATGTAGGGCACAGGAGCTCAGACTGGTCTTAAGAGGAGCATTTGGCAACTCTATCGACATTTAAATGTGCTTCCCTTCAACTCAGAGATGGCACATCCAGTGTCAATCCTAGAGACACAGTAACGTGTGCACATAGAGATACACAGAAGAAAATGCACTACTTCGTTTCTTGGACAGTAAAAACAATTAAGAAATCTAATCCATCAACAGAAGACTAAACTATAGTTCATCTACACTGTGGAATTCTATGGAATAGTTTAAAAAATGAGGTAGATCTATGTATCATCATGGAAACATCTCCAGGAAATATTTTAAAAAATCAAATTGTGGAACCGTGCAAAAAGAAGGGCTCTTTTTAGGTACAAGTCCTCCCACCCCCATATCAGCATATGTGTATGATGCACACGGATGTATTCAAACTCAAAGACCATCTGGAAGGACACATCAAAGCTGGCAAGGGCTCCTACAGCAGAACGGAGGAAGGGGTCAAGAGAAAAACTTTCTTTTCATTCTTGTATTTCTGGACCACTGGGGATTTTTTTTTTTTTTTTTGAGATGGAGTCTTGCTCTGTTGCCCAGGCTGGAGTGCAGTGGCCCAATCTCGGGTCACTACAAGCTCCGCCTCCCGGGTTCACACCATTCTCCTGCCTCAGCCTCCTGAGTAGCTGGGACTACAGGTGTCCGCCACCATGCCCGGCTAATTTTTTGTAGTTTTA